ACGATTTACATTTAAACCTCTTCTTTTAGACACGTACCGATTGTTTTAATACAATAAGAACAACAACGACAACTAACGTTTACACTCGTGAAATAATTTCCGTATAATATAATTTATTCAAATTTGATTCGTAGACGACGACAGACACATACACAAAGTCGGATCGAAAGCAAAATTAGTTCAATTCACCAGAGTCTATTGTCTATATATATATATATATATATATATATATATATTTTCTTTTAAACTTCGTGATCATTTTATTTTCTATTTACCAGTCGGAGAAGTTAATTTAAAAGATCAATTATATAAACGAGGAAGAAGAATATTCGATATTGTTTTTCGAATCTTTCTTTCAATCTTTGCGAATGGCGAATACGTACTTATGTATTTTTTAAATTTTGGTTACAATTAGAAATGAATTTTTTTTTATTTAATTTTTTTTTTTTTGTACTTAACGTACATCTGTGAAGAAAAAAAGTATTGTAATATTCCTCCTCGTTATTTCTTATGAACTTACGGAAAATACTTCACAATATTCTTCTACTCGTCCAAATGTTCGAGAAAAGACGATCGCATGGAACGCAATATGGCGGTGTCATAACCGCGGGGCATTTAGGAGTTCGTTACAAAGAGGAATTATTAAAGAAGTACATCGCGTATCTTCTTTCGTTACTCACGTTGGTGTGTAACGTAAATGTTTTTTTTTCTTCTTCTCCTATTTTTCGTTTTGTTTTTTGTTTTAAACGCTCCTCGTTACGATATAATTTTTAATTGGGTCTAGTTATGTATCGAACTGTCAATTCTATTACAAATTGAAATAAATTTAATTTGAAAAAATATCCTCCATTTTCTTGAAAAAAAGTACTTCCATTTTTATCGAATATTTGGATATATTTTATTTCTTCGTGTCAATCGTTTTACGAATACACTTTCAACGACATTTTAAATAGCGAATAATAGTTTAATTGATATTGTATTAAATTGTTGTTTTATTATTTATAAAACTAAATTGAAATTATTATTTTGAAAGTTTATTTTATAACGTAACAGTTGTTTTTATGGGTTAGATAATTTTGTTGTTATTATTTTATGGGTTGGCTAAGATATCTACGTAAATTGGCCTAATATTCAAATGTAAATCGTTACCCGCCACGACGCCATTTTAACTCCGCGCGTTTTTTAAAACATCTATATTCGTAATCTGAAGATACGATATATCTTGACGTGATAACGGAAAAACATCATTTCATCGAGTGGTAGTGATAGTGATAATGATAATGATAATGATAATGATAATGATAATGATAATGATAATGATAATAATAATGATAATAATAGATAGAGATAGAAAAGACCATGACCGTTTATGTTATTATACATTGGTTGAAAGGGTCTTTCGTAACGCTTATTTTACTTACGAAGCTATCTTATATATATATATCTATGCATATATATATATATAAAATATATATATTTGCATACACATGCGTATCGTACAGCATATATCGAATGCCTTTATCCGTAACCTTTTCTACATTGAAAACAACATCTGCTTTTTTTTCTTTTCCCTTTTTCCCCCTTTATTTTTCCTCTTTCGTTATTAAACCTGCATGTGGAAGACGAAAGAGTTATATATTTTTACATATTATATTTTTTAATCGTACAAGAATCTCGAATGAAAATAACATTTCTTAACACATCTATAATTTTTTAATTAATTTAATTAATTTAGTGAATATAATGACATGCTTCGAATTTGAATTTTTATAAGTCATAAAATATAAGAAAATTAGTAAGAGATATTTTTGTTTTTTTTTTTTTTTTAATTATATAATTTCATTGTGATAATAAAAGAATATATTGTAGAAGTGTTAAGAACGAAAAAATGGCTTCCAGAAAGTCGAGTAATCTACGGATGAGAAGGAGTATCTATATCTCTCTTCGGTCATTTTAACACGGATTATAGGTAATTGAAAATCCTGACGCCTAGGCGCTTCTTATCCGAGGGAAAATAAATTAAGGTTCTTCCGTACATTACTAAAATGTAGGTAGTCGTTGATAACGTATAATTACTACGAAGAAAGTAAGAAAAAAGAAAAAGAGAGAGCAAGTAAATTAATGTTATTAATGTAAAAAGATAATTCAAAGATGTTAATAGTAAAAAATGATTATAAATATAATTTATACGAAAAATCGTTCATTTCCATATTAAAAAAAATGAACACGTAGAATGTATGATTTGTTCTACAATATTTAACGCAAATTAATATGTGTATCATTGATTATAATTATTACGAATTTTTAAAAAGAACACGATTCTTTTATTTTCTAAATTCTCTTTTATTCTCTTGTTCTTTTTTATTATCGAATTCTCTGTAAAGAAATAAATATTATTTTGATATTTTCGTTGGAGGGAAAAAAAGAAAAAAAAGAAAAGAAAAAAGAGAGAGAAACATGAAAGAGAACGTATGTTAAAACATTTTACGAATCGTATATTTATATAGCATAAAATTTGCATGGTTGTATCTGTGATGACTGGGTTTGAGGAATTCAATAAAACCCGCGGCTCGGAAACCGTTATGAATAGTAACTTTTTTATCGACGAGAGGGCGCCATCATTCCAATTTTTTTTTTCCTCGGACGACTGCTTCGATTTGCCAGTATTGTGTAAAGAAATCGATTTGAATATTTTCTCTCTTTTTTTTTTCTTTTTTTCCTTTTTTTTTTTTACATATATATGTATATACGCACAGACGGTATAAAAAATTAATATTTTTACGGGTTCACGTTGAGGTATGAAGAATCCATCGATCGATAAAAAAAGGAAGGATTATGCGTGCGCATATAAATATCAATGGATCCCTCACGAACGCATTTCCGGTCGGTAAACAAAATTTAATACGATTACTTTTTGTTAGTGTTGAGCTCAAATGTCTCTAGACATTAAACAAGAAGGTGTGTGCTATTTGTTCTTAATCGTTACTTTTTATTTATATTGCATATATATATATATATTTTTTTTTTATTATCTAAAATGTATAACTAAAAGTTTTTAATATTACAAGATAATACAATATTCTACGGGTTACTTTTTAATCAAAAGAAAAGCTAATTAATTTAATGAAGGCGACATTGTTATTATACATTTTTACGATCACATTGATACTTGTTTAATTATCTTTTTTTATTTTCTAATTTTTCTTTTTTCTTTTTTCTAGTTTTCTTTTGACTCTTCCGAGTTTCTTCAATATTATCGCGCGAAATATTATATTCGTTAGAATAACACCCACGAATTATTTCTTTATTTGCAATGAAAAATGGTTCGAATATAGATATTACAAAGTGAATAAACAAAATATGACAATGATTCAATAATTTATTAGCTTTAACGATTATGTTAATTTTTTATGACACTTGGATATAAAAAACGGAGAAAAAATATTTATATAAAACTGCGAACAGAGGGGGAAAAAGGAAAATGGAAGGAAAAGATTTAGAGAAAAAGAAATACATACTTTGTTTTGTTGGTAACACGTATTCTCACTTTTTCTTTTTTACTTTTATTTTGTGTTCACTCCCTGGGGGTAAAAGTCGACTACTCGCATGTGTGTGTAAGTGTTACTTTAAATATGAAAGATAATGATCCTTCAGTCGTTTTCCTAGTATGAGACAACTTTTAAGATTTGAACTTTATCCGAGTAGCCAGTATTATGTTGTAATCCCTTTTATCAACCAACACGGTCTGTTGTAATAGAAACTTCAAACAAAATATATATATATGATATGAAATTAACAATGAATTAAAAAATGTTCAATGTATAACAGATTTATTCCTATATTTCAAGCATCTAACATGAATTTATTGATAACTCTCTTTTTATCGGATGAAAATGAGGATATGGACTGTTATTGTCCGCATTATCGGTCACGTTGATCCATTTGATAATCTTTAGATGAAAGGTCTTGGTGACTGTGTTCTAATTTCTGTATTTTAGAAAAAAAAGAAAAGTAGGAGAAGGTCGAAGAAGGGGAAGAGATACCCTTTGTGCGATTACGAGGACGTATTGTTTTATATTCTATCCAACGATCAATAATCAAAATTCTATTTATTCGATACTTTACTAATTATAGCTTTTAACGTCATACGGGGTGTATCAGTTAAATATGAGATCACTTAAATTATCACCTTTGTTGAGACATTTTACTGAGACACCCTATATAATTTACTTAATTAATTTTTGTTTCATTTCATTTATATTTATATAATTTAGGAAGCATATAAATTGATGGAATATTTATATTAAGAATGTTCTTGGTTTATATATATATATTAAAATGTATTCAATTTATATGTATTGTTTATTAGTTGAAATAGTAAAAGGTATTTTTTGAGTAGCCATTTAACGATCATGTAACGGTTCATGATATCATTTTCATATTTCATTCTTGCGACTGGTAGATAGCATATCGCACGATTAATACCGGTAACGACATAATGGTGGTACTAATGAATGGTCAGAACGTACGAACGTGTTCTCACGTATCTACATGTATACTGTTCTTCATTGAAACACAACAATGACACGTTCTTGCGAAAGGAAATCTGAGAATGATTGGTCAACCCTCGATACTTTATGTCCTTAAAGTAAACTAACTCGGTCATGAACTTTATTTATAATAATTAATAGAAATACTAATTATAAATTTATATCCGAACATATACTTGTGCCGGTAAATTATGATAATGAGCTAATTAGAAAATTTACAAAAAAAAACACATTTAATTTTATAATATAAATAATTGCAATAGAAAATGGTTTCCAATTTTTGTTCACTTAGTTCCCCATTGCGATAATTATTGGATACATATAATAGTTATGTTAACTATTATTTAGCATATAAATATACATGAATTTTTAATAATTATTATATATATGTATATATATGTGTGTGAAACATTTTGGGCTAACATAGATACAATAAAATTCATTTTTCAGATGTTACGCCTTCGGAGCAAGAAGATTTGTTTATTAGAAAACTTCGACAATGCTGTGTGGCGTTCGATTTTATGGACCCAATGGCGGATCTCAAGGGGAAAGAAATTAAACGCAGTACCCTCAACGAATTGGTGGAATACATCACGGCTGGACGGGGCGTTCTTACCGAACCTGTTTACCCAGAAATTATTAAGATGGTCTATATCATTATTATATTTTATTCACATTATTTCTTTATTATTTATATAATATTAATCATAATTTCGTATATTTTATTTTAATAGATATCAGCGAACCTTTTCCGTACGTTGCCACCTAGTGAAAATCCAGATTTTGATCCGGAGGAAGATGATCCAACATTGGAGGCGAGCTGGCCCCACCTTCAGTTGGTTTACGAATTCTTTCTTCGCTTTCTCGAGTCTTCAGACTTCCAACCTACCATTGGCAAGAAAGTCATTGACCAAAAATTTGTTTTACAAGTAAGGATCTCATATATATGAAATTAACATATAATAAGTTTAATAACTTTACTATCTGTGATATAATTATTCATGGAGTTTTTATTTTATCTTCAAAGAAGTATTTTGTTAATTTGATTGATTGATAAATAATTTAGGTCTAACGCTTCGTTTGAATTAATAGAATACTCTGGTATAGAAAAAAAAGTTATTTTCTTAATTACTGGACTCACTTTTTTTTCTATGGAGATATTAAATTACGTTTGTAGAAAATATACGACAATTTAAATCATATTTTATAATTACAGTTATTGGAATTATTCGACTCGGAAGATCCTAGGGAAAGAGACTTTCTTAAGACCGTTTTGCATCGTATTTATGGCAAGTTCCTCGGTCTTCGAGCGTTCATACGCAAACAAATTAACAACATTTTTCTGAGGTATTTTTTGATTCGCCTTTAACTATACTTTATTTAGAATATTAACGTGTACATACACGAAACTTAATAAATTTAGAACAATATTAGCCATATCAATGGCTAATACTTGAAATGCAGAGGATTAATAATTGGAGAACTGTTTGTTTATTCATATTAAAAACACGTTAAAATTAGTTTTTCTTTGTAGGTTCGTCTATGAGACGGAACACTTTAATGGAGTTGGTGAGCTTCTAGAAATTTTGGGTAGCATCATTAATGGATTTGCTCTACCTTTAAAGGTAGAGCACAAACAATTCTTGATAAAGGTAAAGTATGATTATATATCCAAAATTACATTATTCATTTGAAGTAACATTTTTACAAAATATATATCTTATTTGTTTTATCGTAAGATTATATTAAAAATGTCCTTCAACCTCTAACAACTGATTTCTTTGTGATTTATAGGTGTTATTACCATTACACAAAGTGAAGTGTTTATCGCTCTATCATGCACAGTTAGCTTATTGTGTTGTACAATTCTTGGAGAAAGACGCAACCTTAACGGAACCAGTTGTACGAGGCCTCCTTAAATTCTGGCCTAAAACGTGCAGCCAGAAGGAGGTAATGTTCCTTGGTGAGATTGAGGAAATACTTGATGTCATAGAACCTAGCCAATTTGTTAAAATCCAAGAGCCTTTATTTAGGCAAATCGCACGTTGCGTATCCTCGCCGCATTTCCAGGTAATTTGTTTCTTGATTTAGGAATTATATTTGAAATTCGGAATAATTAATGTAGTGTGACGTAATTAATTGAATATTTATGTGTATTAATGATACATAGGTCGCAGAGAGAGCATTGTATTTCTGGAATAATGAGTATATAATGTCGTTGATAGAGGAAAACAATCATGTAATAATGGCGATCATGTTCCCCGCATTGTATAAAATTAGCAAGGAGCATTGGAATCAGACAATTGTAGCACTTGTTTATAATGTACTCAAAACGTTTATGGAAATGAACAGCAAGCAATTTGATGAACTTACTGCCAGCTATAAGTCTGAAAGGCAAAGGTAAGTAAATTATGATATCTACACTTTTATTAACACTATATTATATATATTTTACATATATATACATTTATATATAATAGAGAAAAGAAAAAGGAGAAAGAGAGAGAGGAATTATGGAAAAAATTAAACGAACTCGAAATAGAACGACGCGGCGGTGCACTAACAGAAACATCCAACAATTCTGTTCCTGCCACGACTGCACCTGCGACGCGAACCCGCCCCTGAGCTAGTACGTATATTCATTTCTAAAATGACACAATAATTGTTTAGACTATTTTATATTTTTGGAAACTCTTAATATAAAATTTCATAAAAATTATCATATATTTTTTCTATTTATATAATATTATTACATTTACACGCATTATTAAGTGGTAAGCATAAATTTATTAACATAAATTTATACAAGTATGTATTTGTTTTTTTATTACAGGTGGACATACACTATTACGCTGCCCAATTATTAGTCTTTAGTTTACGTCGATTGTCCATACACTACAAGCAAGAAATTATCGTTGTTAGAAAGAAAGAGACAGAAAGAAAAAGGGAAGAGAAAGTGAAAGAAAACAAATATCTTATTATGGTATTTCTGACGTAAAATACAATTTCTTTCGTTAGAGTCGTGCTCGGAAGACAAAATGGAGTTCGTATAAAAATTAAAAATAAATAAATAAATAAATAAATAAAAGGAAGAAGGAAAGAATAAGAAGAGAAGGAGAAGGAAAAGGAGAAGGAGGAGAGCAGGAGGAGCAGAAGCAGAAGCAGGAAGAAAAGAAGGAGGCAGAAAATTCTATTGTTTACTAATGATAATGATTGATGATGATGATGATGATGATGATGATGATAATTTTTAATAATTTTATTCTGTGTACATTAATGTTTATTTTTCTTTTTGGATGAAAATCAGCAATCATTTAAGTTGTATAATGTACTCTCAGTGTCAGCACATAATACGAGGATGTTAGTGTGTCCCTTTCTTAAAACTAAGATTTCAGCTGTGCTCGGTGGGAGGGGACGATCGGGATGTAAATTTGAATGAATGCAGCAGTATCGTTATGAACCTTGTTTCTCGACCCTCACACAACCTCGTCTCATCATTATCCCCCTTTATTTTTCTTTCGTTTTATCTCTCTTTTCTTTTCTACTCTATTCTATTCTTTTCTTTTCTTTTCTTTTCTTTTTTTTTCAACGTGACATCACGCTTCGAACTATAAAAATGGCTAGTGTCTCGTTTACCTGTGACTGACTCTCTGACTTTTACTATGATCCTCACCTCCGACGGAGCCAGCGGGAGGGAGGGTATTGTTTGAAAATGTATTATATATTCGTATTAATGATGATAAATATAACAAAACGTAATAAATTAGGTAAATATATATATATAAATATATACATATATATATATATAAATATATATATATATATGTATATATATATATATACATAATACAATATATTAATAAAAATATAGTAATATTGATAATAAAAGAAAAAAAAATTACGCACTCGTACATACTACAAGAATATACCAAAAGCGGCAATTAAAAAAAAAAAAACGCGTGTTAAGTATATACGTACTAAGTACATGCATAACGAACTTCATGCGCTACCGAAGAATCACCGACGTTGTTTACGCAGACTGCATGCATGCACGCAAGCACGCGCAGCAACTAAAAATAATGGGGAAACTAATTTTTTCCACGAAAGAAAGGATAGTAGCAAAAAAAAAACGGTGTATGCATAATAACGGCATAACGATGAGAAGTCGGTGGAAGTAAGGGAAAGAAGGGGGGGGACGGAGGGAGGGGAAATCAATCCACCAAAAAAGAGACAAAAGTAAAAAAAAAAAGTATGAGTCTTTGTTTTTTTTTGTTTTTTCCTAAATAAAAGATAAAAAAAATGATAAAAAAGATATGAGAAGAGGACAATTATATACAGTAAAAATAAAAATAAAAAAGATTTAATTGTACCAAAATATTCATTGCTTATAAATATAATGATTAATAGAGATTACAATGCATAAGATTTATTCGGAGCTGTGCTCCCACTGTGGCCACCGTGAAAACGTGGGATCGTTTTTAAAATTTCTTACGATTGCATAATAATATAATAATAAATAATAATAATTAATAATAACGATAATGATAATATTGATAATAAATAATACAAATAGTAATAGTGATAATAACGATAATAATAAAAAATAATAATAATAATAATAAAATTAATGATAATAAATAATAACAAACAAATAATAGCAATTAATAAATAGATGATTAAACATTGAGTAATCATACTTGCTCATATTTTCATGAACTAGTTGGAAAAAACCTATATACATTTATTATTATCTTTCATGTTTTACATTGTTCGTCAAATATTTTTCATCGTACCGTCTCTTAATATACTTTTTTATTTTGTACTTCTCATTCGCTTCGTGAAATGAAATTAGTTGCTAGAAAGAAAGTGAAGTACATAATTATTGTAAATGCTGTAATGTAACTCCGAGAAATGTAGGTAGTATCGTACAAAGTCTTTAATGCGTAAATAGGCACTTTATTGATTGAATGTCTAATTTATTTTTACTCTGTTACTTTTTTCAATGCAGCTTACATGCAAATATAAATTAAAGGAAAAAAAAAATAGGAACTACATTCTGATGCAAATTGTTTTTAATGTCACTGTAATATCAAAACCAAGTAGTTTATTCTCATGCGTGGCCTAATCCCTGTTAGCCCTGCAGATTTTCCTTTTTTTCATTGTGTACGCAATTTTATTGTCATTTAGATATTTGATTTTCATTGTGAGTTGGAGACATCACCGGTCAAGCCAGAAATACGGAGTATATTGTCTCTGATCATAAATTTATATATATATATACATACATAGATACATATATATATATAAAAAAAAAAAAGGGAGAGAGAGAGAGAGAGAGAGAGAGAAAAATAATGTAGATTGTAATACTGTTACGATTCATTAAGAAAAAATTGAAATCACATAATATATCAATATTTTTTTACAGCATGACAATTGCATTTCTACCACCATATAGGACCAGTAGAATTCATTACTTAAAAACATTGAAGCTATAATAAGAATAAAACAACGTACGGAAATTTTATATACACGTCTGCTGCAAAAAAAAACCATAGACTTGGAAGGAGCTGCATCAAACAGTTGTTTTACTTCAGCTTTATAAATATTCTAGAAATGCACGATACGTAAAAAGAAACTATACAAACGTGAGATGCACTGTGATAGTTAACAAACAAACCTATCATTAAACAACTTTTATTGATAGTTATCCAACGTTATTTTTTTCTGTTATTCCAATCAAAATTGAGCAGAACTAAATGAATTTGCCTGAAACCAAACCCAGCGTAATCCTATTTGTTATCAAGTATTTATAAATACAGGAATATTTCATTGATATCTAAAAAAAAAAAATAGTGCTTATGAGAAGATTAGAAGCAGTAGGACAAAGTTTACATAATTTAAAAAGAAAGCCAGCAATAAGTTAATTTAAATTTCATTACTCTCTATATAGATACAATATATCTGCAGTACGTTCAATATCAAACACATTTATTAAAATTGAATCGTTATTTTAAAACACCCTGTGATTATATACAGTGATAAAATTGGTCACTGTATGATAATTATTTAAAAAAAAGTATTTGAACTATTAATACTATTTAATGAATGAACGTATTTATAATGAAGTTGATATTAACAATACTGAAAAAAAATTGTTTACATATCATGCTTATGGCTTCAAGGTAAAAACAAATTTTCCATTTTTCATTATAATTTAATGGTGAGTAGAGGGTAAGTATTTTACTATTTATTCATATCAACAAATAAATATTATACTGTTTCAAATAAAATAATAAAATGATTTTTTTTATTTTTTTAAAGAAATTGTATATAAATTTGATGATGAGACCTAACATTATCTATTATTTCAGAAAAGAAATAGTGGGTACAAATATGTTTCATATTTTTACTGTAGTGTCATGCAGTGCATTTTATATTAATGGATAAATTATCGACGAAGAAAAATGTGTTAAATTAAATGCAAATATGAATTTTCTTATGTATCTAATAAGTATTAACGAATCATAAGAACGCTTTAATTAACCAATCATATTGATGCACACTTCTTGGGTTAAGAAGTGAATATTCCAATAATAGCTCATAGGTTGATTTTATTCGTTAAAGAATTTAATGTCACATTGCTATTGTCAAATTTTAATGTTTAAATTTGTATTGTAACATTCTGTATTAGTGACTTTTGTATTTAATTTTTTTGTACTATACAAACCATAATTAACACGTTCTTATAGTTCTTATTATACTCAAAAATATAGATATAATCTATTTGAACAATATGATTACATTACTTGATCACTCAAACATAAAATATCGATATTTATGATTATAGATCAAAATGAAAATTTATTTCTAATAAAAAAAAATATATCTATATCGTATTAATATGACACAATAAATAAAAATTGATATTAAAATGTAACCACTAATTTTCTATTGACAATTATTCAAATGTGTTAACAATGTATTATTGATATGGTTATAATAGATTAAACAAATATTTTAGATTATTATATTATTATATATTACGAATAGTTTTACAATCTATTACAATGTTGTCGCGAAAAAATAAAGACTTGAGAACAATTAAGGAAGGAGTAGTGGGTAAATATATTAAGAAAGAGACACCACCTGAAATGCCAAGTAAGATAAATTTTTGTCTTAGATTATTAAAAGAAAACATCTCAAAGATTCAATGTTTACTAGTACATTAACAATTATTGTTTTGTTAGTTATTAATGTGTGGACCACAGAACCAAATAGGAGAGTAAGGCGAAGAAATCATCCCACAATACCATCTTCAATGTCTATCCCGCAACAACCAAGTATAGTACAAAAATTTGGAAATACAAAAACTACAATGAGTGCTGTTGGATTAGGTAGCCACGAAGGAAAATATACTCCAAATAGTTCTGTTCCAGATTTAGCGCAGAGGTAATAATATTAATTGCTTCATACATGAAAATGTATTATTTATATTGCATTAATTTAGGATTTACAAATGATAATAATTTGATATATTTAATTTTATTAGATTTACAGGTCTTTCTCTTAATACTGGATTAAACGAAGGTATGTCTTCTCGTACTGCTACACCATTGTATCACTCGGGATTATCGCCTGCTGCATCTCATACTTATGTCAATCAATATGCTGGATCAGAATATCATTTAGACCGTGTTCAGACTCCACAAGTGTCTTATTTAACATTTGATGCAGATACAGGTTACGAAGAATATAATCAATCAGTATATCGTCAAAATGTTGGGTATAGTCAATAATATTGTATTAATATATTAATATGAATGATTAATTATTGTTTTTATTTAACTAAACAAAATATGTAAACATTTGTAAAGATATAGTAGATGTCAGTCAGAAAGATCAAGTTCTAGAAGTGAACAACAAGAAGAATTACCTTTACCACCCGGTTGGTCGGTAGACTTTACACTTAGAGGTAGAAAATATTACATAGATCATAATACAAAAACTACTCATTGGTCGCATCCTTTAGAAAAGGAAGGTTTACCAACTGGATGGGAGAGAATAGAATCACCGGAATATGGTGTCTATTATGTTAAGTAAGTAATTAATGTTTATTGCTATATTATTTTATTACGGACATGCTTTATCTTATCTATAAATAATGATCTCATATTAATTCCAGTCACATAACAAGACAAGCACAATATGAGCATCCGTGTTATCCGCACGAAGTACAAGCCATAAGAGTAGTATCACCGCCTAGACATACTCATTTTCATTCTCACAGTGTCTTAGTACCAGCTAATCCATATCTTAATGAAGAAATTCCTCATTGGTTGTATGTGTATAGTAGAGCATCTATTGCATTAGATCGTAAATTACGATGGGAACTCTTTCGTTTACCAGAACTTGATTGTTTTAACGCTATGCTTACAAGACTTTACAAACAAGAATTAGAGGAAGTGGTTATGAGATATGAAGAATACAGGTTTGTGATATAAAGATTTTTTTATAATATATATCTAAAAGTTAGTTTATATAAGCAAATAATATTTGAAAATTTAAATAGGTCAGCTTTATTGTGTGAAATGGAACAAAGATTGAAAGATTTAAATCCTGAAACAGGAAATTCTTCATCAGGTGCAATAGCTTTACGACGATCTCTTCCTTAAGTTTTACATAATACGATTGCAGACATCTTATTGACTGACTTATTGGTTCCTTTATTAAATTAATAACAACGAATACCTTGATATTCTTTGAATTTGTAAATAACAGCAATCTTTTTATTGTTTTAATGATATTTTAATATATATATGTATTATATACATCTTATATATATATATATAGTGTTATATATATCTTATATATAATATATATTCTTATTATCATCCTTATAATAAAATAAGCATTTTTAATTACTAATCAATCAAAATCATGTGATTCTTTTTCTACAGGAGGATTTAAAATATTATGACGAATTTCATCTATTTGTTTTTTATCATATATAGTATTTTCTACAATATTGAATCCTTTAAGCCGAATAACTTGAGCTGTATCAGTGTGCGAAGACGTTAGTTTTTCTAAACCTATACATTTCATAATATAAATTTAAGTCATCGAATATATTTAATAACTCAGCATAAAAATTAAATAGATTGAAAAATACCTCTTGGTACGCCAGGAATTTCCTTTCCTGACTTACTTAACATATATAGACCTACTGCAAATCCATTCCAAGATATTGCTGCATACAGAAGAGTTATTCTAAAATGTATTTTTTCTCTCTGTCCTTTACTTAAATTTTTAAATAAACGTGAGAAAAACATTTTTTACGTATCTAGAAAAAAATACAATCATTTAGAAAAATTACATTTTTTTATAAAAATATTTATACAATATACCAAATAGATTCATTTTCAATTATAATTTATTGAAAGTTTCTGTCATGTTATATAAATTTTTCAGTTTGAATAGATTTAGAATCAACTAAAATGCAAAACTATTGCAATTAGATAACCTTTAAATACATTACTAAATTTTACTTTGTATTGCTTGTTTTTTATTTTTTTTTTTTTTATGTATATTCTAATGGTTTTTTAGTATTTTATGAATTTTTTAAAATCATTAGATATTCGTGAATAATGATATACATTATTTTGAAACTAATAAGAAGTCCTTATAAAAACTTTTATATAACTATGTGGTCATATACATACTGACTTGAACATATAATTCACTTGATTGACTTATTAACAAACAAAAAATATTTCACTGCAGGTTATTATTAATACTATTCATATTTTATATTAAACGTTAATATATAGTATGTAAGCACAAACTTAAATAAATTTATTTTAATTCAATGTACTCTTCCTTTTCCAATGAAAAATCACTATAGATGACACTATTGTTCTCCAATGCAAAGGTTTAACAAGCGTTCCTTTTAAATAAATTGTAAATGAACACACAGACAAATTATTAATTAATGGATCAAATTGTTATACATTTACAAAATCATTTTATTGAAAAAAAAACATCATAATCAGATCAATCATGCATCTCGCTGTTGGCCAATGCAAGCAGTGTTACCAATAAAATATAATGCAATGCTTTTTCTTTTTTTTTTTAATCATCGTATTATTTATTATTGCCTCTTTCGAAAAATGTATAATAATTTAAAGATAAAGGTAGAATTTATTCGTTATATACCATACCTATGTTTATTAATTAATAATAGGAATTAATTAGATAATAACTCGAAATTAGTATATTTATTTAACTTTCAAATAAAACTTTAAATATTTTAATCATGGAAAACATGGCGTCTGCTCGACCTACGTTTACTCAACATGTTGATCGGTAACGATACAGTGGATTTTGCTCAACAAATTTCAACTAAACAAATACTTATACTATTGAAAGTATTAAACACGGCTGTTTCTAAATTTATTGGAATATTCTACTTGTTTTGAATACTACTCTGTATTAACAAGTAGTTATGGCAAATCACTATGAAGTTCCAAACTGGTGTGTGTCAAGTTTTAATAATGTTTATAATAATTTATCCAAAAAAAGTGTATTATTGACTTATCCTTATAAAATGGATGTAATAGCTTTCGAATATTTATTCATGAATAGGTTATGTTTTCAGGGCTGGTAAACCTCCAGTTGGTTTACATTTGGATGTACTAAAAAATGACAAATTAATACAGGTAAAATAATACATTACAAGTACCTAAAGTTAATATAAAAGCACAATACATATATTGATAAATATTTAATAGATATCATTACTATTATAGAAATTAATGGTCGACGAAAAGAGATGTTATTTATTTGGCCGCAATCAACAATTAAATGATTTTTGTATCGATCATGCTTCCTGTTCTCGAGTTCATGCTGCACTTGTATACCATAAACATCTTCACAGAGCATTTTTAGTAGACTTGGGCAGTAGTAAGTTATTAGTTGATTAGGAAATTATTCTGTATATTCTATATTATGCAATAACGTTATTTGTCATTGTTTATCCGCTAGCACATGGAACATTTATTGGTAATATGCGCTTAGAAGCACATAAACCAACTCAACTTCCTATTGATACTACATTTCATTTTGGAGCATCTACACGATATTATATTATCAGAGAACGACCACAAACTGGTACAAGGGCCATTATTGAAGAATTAGAAAAACTTTCAGAAGATGCAGATACTGGAGGTTTATTAGGTTTACCTGAAACAGAAACAGAACTGGATGTATGTATCTTTTATATCCGACAAATATAAGAAATAAATAGTAATAATGTAAAGCATAGAGTAATTAATAATACATTAATTTTTAGAATCTAACAGAATTCAACACAGCACATAACCGACGTATATCCATGCTTGGCATCTCAGATGATGAAATGCATAAAAGTACTAGAAAAAGAAAGAAAAAAGGCATTACTTTTAATGACGATGAAGAAGTTATTAATCCTGAGGATGTAGATCCATCGGTTGGTAGATTTCGTAATCTTGTACAAACAACTGTAGTTCCAAGCAAGGTTTGTGTTTTTATGATCACAGTCTGCATAAATTTATATGATGAAATTTTTAACTAGTTAAATAAACTAATGTTTTTATATTTTACAATATAGAGAATGCGTATGGAAGGTGGATTGATATCGTTGTCAGAAGATCACCACCCTTTAAAACATTTACAACCTACGTCAACCACACCACAGCTTTATCATGATCTTCCACCAGAACAATTTACACCTTCCTCATTATCAATAAATCCTTTTTCTACAGCTATAACATCATTAACATCTAGACTTGGTATTGCGTTACCGAATCCTGCACCAGAAGTTGAAATGACTCCAAATCTTGTACAACCCGAAGTACCACAAGTACCAGAAATTTCAGGTCCCACAGAATCACGTGCAATGGAGCCTAAAAAGAAAAAATATGCGAAAGAAGCATGGCCTGGAAAAAAACCTATACCATCGCTCTTGGTATAATTGTATTAAAAATTTTATACTTTTCGGAACTATGAACATAAGAAATATAGTTTGCTCTTTTGTTGCTGTATTCGTTATAGGCTTAATATATGTGAAGACTGTTATAATTTAATTAAATAATTTTTAGTTACTCTTTATTTCTTCGTAATCCTTTTGTAACAGTCACTCTTGTAATTAAATTAATTTTATGTAATATTAATTCTCATTTTTAATTTCTGTGCTATATAAATGTTTATAAATGACGTGTGTATATAAATATATATATATATATATATTGATTAATAGATTATAATTTTAATAATACTTTGGTATATGACAGAAAATTTCAATAACCAACTTTACAGTCTTATGATATAAAAGAATAGACAAATAAAGATTATATTCACTTATATAGGTATAATAAACCTATAATGTTAATTTGTTAATATTTTAACTATGTACAATTATACAAATTATTAAAAAGAAGATAACAAGTATAAAAGAATTGAATTTCAAATGTGATAATATATTTAATGTAAAATATTCACTTTAAATTATTGAATTTATATATATACTACCTATTTTGTGTGGTACTAAATAATTATTAAGGTACAAAAACAAAGGAATGTTTCAAAGTGTGATGACAAAGAATTAGTATTGATAATCATAAAAAAACCAATATTAAACAATATTGTAAAAATATTCATCTATCATTACTACGGTAATACTAACATAATTCTGTATTATATAATTTTAGATTTTGAAGAAATATTTATAAATGATTTATTTAAATATAAAAATGTTTTTATTTAGATTAATGTTTCCTGATTCTAACGACGTACATAAAAAAGAATTTAATATTAATATTAATAATGTAATTTTCAAGCTTTCATATGTGTTAACATTTTTTATAAAACAAATTGAATTTGTTTTAAAAACTTATGATATTTAAATTTCACGCCAATCATTCCTTTACAATCGTTCCCTCTGCCGGCAATACACAAATGTTCTATTTAGTGCAAGTGTTTACATCAACAACACGTGCTAAAACAAAATTAAATAAAAACATATGTTGAAGTAATTGGTGATTAATGTAATAAATTATTTACGTTATTTTTATATCGTAATAACAAATATACATTAACTTGACTATATTAATTAATTGAGATATTTCAGATTTAAATTTTTGTAACCTATATAATAAAGAAATTCATTATTCTCACTTTATAAAAGATTTCGAATCACAATTAATGTAATAAACATTAATGTATAAGTAAAATAATAAGAGGACAGTGATTTAAAAGTATAATATTAGTTAGATCATCTTTAATAATGGCAACTACTGAATCTAATCCTGGCTGGGCAGATGCTCTCCAAAAAATTTTAAAAACTAATAAACCAAAAAGAAAAAAGACAATTGTGTTATCTAAAGCTAAAAAGCATAATGATATAGTGAAAAAGAAAGAAAATCTACCTCTAGAAATAGATACAGTTCAAAATGAAAAAGAAAAATCAGAGACCACTGAAGGTAAAGAAAATCTATTGTTGAAAAAGAAACCAAGACAGAAGGATAATTTGGGTATAAGGGTGAAACCATCTATTATTGATAGAGAACGTGAAAGACTTCTCCAAAAAATTGCCACAAAGTAATTTCCATTATTTATTATTCATTATTAAGATGTAATATTATATATATTGGATTTCTTAAAAAAATTTTAAACTATATGTTAGAGGCGTGGTACAATTATTCAATGCGGTAAGGCAACAACAAACAGACACGAATCAAAAATTGCAAGATGCTGGACCCTTAGAGAGGAAACGCGAACAAGTATTAAAAAATATAGATAAACGTGCATTTTTGGATGTACTTATGGGAGAATCCAAAAGTATTCCTGTAGACAAAAATATTGAAAGTCAAATTGAAAGAGAAGAAGATGATGCAGAAAATGTAAGTTTGCTATCTCTATCTGTTATGAAATATTATGTTATAATACTAAATTTACTTATAAGTAATGTATTTAAATTACAACCTGATTCAGTGATAAAAAAATCAGTTTTGTATAATTCTATAATGTAATATTTTATACAGAAAGAGGACAAAGTATGGTCTGTTTTACGTGACGATTTTGTTATGGGAGCAAAATTAAAAGATTGGGATAAAGAGCAAATAGATGATGAAGATTCTTCAGCGCCCGAAGATATAGATAACGATGAATAGGAACAAAAAATAATTTTATAAATTATTTATATAAAATATTATTATTAAATATCTCTTATTAAAGTTTTTATTTTATTTTTTTTTTATAACGCCTGCTTAATAATCCTTTGTAAACTACATGGTAACAATGATAATGTGTACAGTACATAATTCTTCTGTATAAATTATAATTATAATACATATTTGATTCCATGTGAAGTTAAACGACTTATGGTGCAAGTTTGTGGTCTTGAATTAATGACTAGTTAATTTATGTATGTACCCTCAGAGTACTAATCTTCTTCTTGTTATTTTTTTTGATTGTTGATTATTTGTTTGTCCAAATTAAATAAAGAATTCATAATCACAGAGTAGTAAACTTACACAGATAACGTAAATGGAAAACATATAATTTTTATTATAGGATAATTATGATTTATACAAAATTTTGAAGATATTAAGCCGAATATAGTGCATACACAGACTTCTGTGGACGGACTGAACTAACATTATCTTGACAACAACTCAATGCTTATTGTATTACACAAAAATAAATAATCAAGGTTCTTGTGTAATATTTAAAAATTTATTATTTTTTATAGATGTTTATTTTTATAACAATTCTTTTCCTGATAACAATTTCAATTTATATTTATTGTACATCCTGTTCTAGTTCCATTTAATCTGATATTTAGAGCATAATTAAATTAATCTTTCATAAAAGTATATTAAAATAATATTTAGAGATTTCTTTCCTGACATCTATGAAATAATAATTAAAATTATTATTTTTGTGCAAAACGCGTATACATTGTTAAATATAAATCCCTTGAAAATAATTTACAATCAATACAGTTGTTTTATAATAAAATATAAAAAACAAAATATTAGGCACTGTACTAATACACATAACTTTTCTGAGTCTTTAAATTAATTGATATTGATATCACTATACACTTTCATTATTATTTATTAAAAGATATTGTCAGGCGTACCTGGACCATTTAGCGCCAGAATTTTAAGCAATTTTTATTAAAATAAATCTTATTTCGGGAGATAATATAATATAATTTAACAGATTGTAAGTAAAAATTTATCAATTATTAGATATGACATATAATAGTGATATATAATAATGTTCACTAAATCTTCTTAAAGGAAGTGTATTACTATTGTTTAATGCAATGCAACATAACACATGTATATACATATATATAAGTATATATATATATATATATATATATATATACATGATCGCACACCAAGTAGAAAGGGTTTGTAACTTGAAATTTGATATTTCATATCAACAGAATGATCTCACTCGCAATAAATATTTATATATCATAATAAATATTAACCTATTTTCTAAACATTTCGGATAACAATATATATATTATGTATAAGTTATATTAAGAAAAAACAGTATGCTCTTTTTAATGATAAATGCGTAAATAGATTCTCTGCTTTAATAATCGTAAAAATCTTTCATATAAATTTTAAGAGCTGTTATCGGCATTTATTCATTATTTCATTAGTTACTACTCTATACCACTGCGTGTGCGTTATCATTAGAGTTAAGTGTATCAGAAAACGAATGAATTTTGAAAGTATATAAAATAATGAAAAGTAGGGCGCGATGTTAGCATACAATATCCTAAAAATTAATTGTCCAATTGGCAATAATTCATCAGACCCTACTCTCGCGAATATCAGCAAGAGCACCAAAATTACCAGCATCATCATCAGGATATCCAGAATCTTCAGCATTTTGCGTTCTACTTTCATCCTCGCTTCGCCTGCTTCTATGAAGGTACCTTATATTTGGACTAGCTTCGTTGTTTTGGTTAATTTCGTTAGTTTGTTGTGTATTTTGTAAATGAACATTTCTTCCACTCGATTGCTCTCCATGATACAATTGCGATTGAGAAATTTCGTTAACCCTATTTACGTTGCACATTTCATGTGGAACGTCTAGGGAAGTCTCAGTTTCATGAGAATTAGCAACCCTGACAAAAGCAACACCAGGTTCATCACTGTCTCTAGAAACACGTTCTCTATTTGTATTACTATCGTTATTTATTCTCGAGATACTTCGTGCACGATTTCTTGTATTCATTATATCATTTTCCATTGTCGCGTTCTCAGATGCGGGGTTTATCATTTCATCCACTCTATGGGCGTATCTTTGTTCGTTGTTTCGATTAACATTTTGTGAATTCAACCGGTGATTCTCATTATCTATTGTATTTTCTCTTTGGCGATTTTCATTTTCATGAAACAATTGAAACGTGATATCATCGTGCGAAGTTCTATAAGTATTCAAATTAGTGTTGCTTGAAACACGATGAACCATTTCTTGGCTTAATCTATATAGCCCTAAATCGTTGTCCATGTAATAATTATCCAAGGGATTACTGATGATAGATGGATTTCTCGAGACAGTTCTTCTTGGGGAACTTGGACTGGAGAAAGTCGTTATTGTTAGAAAAGGATAGGGCAATACGTTCGTGGGATTACCAACTATATGAGGACAATCTTCTAAACTTTGCATTTCGATCTCTTCTTTGTCGTTACGACAAAAATCGTGCATCTCTAACTCGTGAGGAAGATTAGCAAACCTAAAAAGAAATGAATGTATTATCTATCGACATTTAATTTTGAGAATAATATATATCAGTAGTTAAATCTTCTATACCTATGCAATAGAATGTCAGAATACGAAGGCGGCATATCAGTCTCTTCTTTGCCGTAAATGCTTTCGTAAGTAGGCGGTGGAAAACACGCTATAGATCCTAAACTATCTTTACTAGGAGTTTCAGCATCCATTTCCAATATACTACCTTGACTGTTTTGCAATTGATGTCGATTAATACTACGCGGATTTCTTTGTGCACGAAGTACACTATCACCCAGTTCTACCAAATCCAAACCTGTATCAACATAAAATAATATATAAATTGAGGATTTATTTTAATTACATAGGAAGATAATCAAAATTCATTTTATGTCATCGTACCAGTTGGATCGGCCTGAAACTGCGTGAACATAGTACCATCAACCACAAGCATTCTACCGTGTGGTAAAAGAATGATCGTTGGTGTAGCAACCATCGTTTGATCGCTATTACCAAAACGTGAATCTGGTTCAGGATCTTCCAAACGACAACAGCAATGTCGTCTACAAAGCGATCGACAGAATGGAGCACCCCAACAACAGTAAGCAAAAATGAAACACAATACAGCCAGCATCACCAATAAAGCCGCAACACCTTGACTTTGTTGTCCTGCAGCAAGTGTTGGTCCACCGGCAACACCGACGCCAACACCAACCCCGAAACTTCCGCTGCTACTGCTCATCTCTCCTGAAAGGTTATCATATTTTTATATTATTTTAGAGAATGATTTATTATATAATATAATTCATAGAATTTCAAACGCGTCAAACATGTTTCAAAAAATACAATTCTCTCTCGTGGTTTGTCATTTGAAAAAAATTGAAATTCAACATGGCGGAGCTTGTTTTCCCGCGCTATCTTGAGTATTGTTATGAAGATAAAATATAAAAAGGAATCGATATTCAAATTAGCTAAGCTGGAACCGTGCCCATCTTATCGGATGTCACTTGTATATAGAAATTATTTTTAACTTCGGATAATATACAACAAGACTCGAATCGATTGCATATCTTGTATATAATTACTTTAATGTTTAACGTTCCGTTTCGTCTGTCATAAAAATATAAAGTTTAAATATTACGTTCAATGAACATTATCCCACATACGATTTATATTATGTTATAATAATAATTAATAATGTTTATAATTAATTCATATACTAAGTATAACTATTGATTAAATTACATTTATATATATGCACACGTTCTAACACAATGATGCAACTAATACGTATAAGTAAAATATTCTGCAATGCGGCATAAATATGCTCATATAATCATATATTTTTGGCCTTTCTCCAGTTTCGAATGGTTCAACATTGATGTTAAAAGTACCAATAATACTTTATCATTAAATGTATGTTAACGACATTGTTTTTCGAAATAGTGAAAGCAAAAGTGACCATTTAAGGAATATTTATACTGTATAAAAATAATTCTTCTTTAGTAAAAAAAACCAGTACCGAATATACAACGTCAAGACTCTCTCTTTCATGTTAATTATACAGGTTATGGTCTTTTCTTATAAATGGAAAGTAAGTGAAAGTGATATTTTGTATAATATGGTAGAATATACTATTATTTATTTAATAAAATATTCTAATGTGTTATAAAGATATTTTAAAATACGGTTCGAACAATATCATTAGATGAAATTGAACAAAACTATTAAATCAAGAATTTTGTTTAATCGATATCAAATATTTCTTTTTGTCATAATTATAGATAACAAATGAAATGTTTAAAAAAAATATATAATCAAATATCAATAGGAGTATTACATTTGAAGATTTAGACGATGCCCGCATTATGCTGTTCGTATAAAATATTGTATGCTGTACGCGAATTGCTACGACCGCGCCGACACTTGGCGCACTTGAATAGCATACAAACTACTGTAAAATAGAACGTGTAAGATTTAGAACAAAAGAATTTCGGAGCCAATGAAGCAACTACAACGATACAATATTATCGAAAACGAAATCCTTTGAATTTATTTCTTTTTTTCTTTTTAATTTTGTATTATAAAAATGTTAAAATGAATTCCTTTAGGAAGGAATAATTGATATAATTTAAAAGATGACAATATTTTTACGTGCGTACAACGAAAATATCGGATCGACAAATAACTGATGATTATAAAATATCACTTAAATTAATTAGTCCTTTGTTAAACAAAAGATTATATTTTTTATCTAATAATAATTCCAAAAGCTTTTCTATCTAGCTGATTTATTTTGAGGATTTTTTAAACTTCGCATTTGCGTGTCACATATCGATAATAACATAGTTAATGCAGGCGCACAATTATTATCCCAACGTTATCCATAACTGCACAATGACATCGTCAATCTCACCTTGGATGGTGATATTGCGAAGCCAAATAGCCCCCGTGATTGCAGTTGACTCCTCCGTCACAGCTAATGTTCCGTAAATCATGAACGAGGCCGTTAAATATTTTCACGATCTTCCACCGCACCAATGTTTTTTCTCTTTATAAGTTTTTTTTTGTTTCCGTTCCTCTTAGAAAATTTCTACTCTGCACTACGTCGTCGTAATTATTCTTTGATCGACCCGTTCTCGATATCGTTCGAGTTCACCCCCTGCAACTGGTATACAAAAGGAGACCACAACGATCCTTCATCGACGTTTTTTTTCCCGTAAACTTATATTGAGTGCGCTTGCTTAAAGAAAAAGGATATTAAACTTTTCTGACGATGTTTTCTTAAGTTATCACTGATGACCGAATGTTGGAACGTTAATAAAAAGATGTATACAACAAGGGTACATGGTACATTCCTTCTTCTTAAACATATTCCACCAAACAACAAGTAAATTTCTTCTTAGATGTTTTAACGAGGATGTTCTTCGTCCTATTTGAATACCACCGACGTCTCATTTCTTTCAGATATTATTTTTTATTCACGTTTTAATTTCTTTCTTTTCTTCTTCTTCTTCTTTATAAAGTTAGAATCTCTCTAATGTTAAGATATTGAATATATTTTCATTCGTTTTGATTCGTTTGCCGTTATCACCCTCTGATTATTATTTCATTTTCGTCATAGCTCTAAATTAACGCCGATCTTTGGATCGACCTTTTCTCAGCACTTTATTGAAAGAAGTTCCTCGTAAGAATACGGAACGTTGAGTCGAGCCTTGCGCACTGCCATTGACACGAGATCCATTTTGACCCTCGACCCATTTTACTGCCACCCTCCCTCCTCCCCCTCACCACTTTTCATCAACCTGCTGCTTCGAGACCTACCGATACGGCTTCGAACATTCTAAATTACAAACGGATTATTCTTCCTTCGTGCTTTCGATTTTTTTACATTGATGGTGAGTCCCTTAACTGGTTAAAATATATAATTTTTATCTTCTCTGATTACTATCGCTCTTTTCACTTTGTATTTTTGCTTAAACAGTCGAAATTAACAAAAGTTATTAAACAATCTTTTTAAATAATCTGCAGAAATAGATTTGGAAGAAATGCAGATAATATTGATCACTTTCAATTTCGTGTACACACACCTTCATAAATGCATCTTGCAATATGTCGATATTCTTTTCCCCTGGTAGATAGATATATATATATGATGTATACTATTCTTTTATTTATATATATATGTATAATCTATATTATATATATAGTATATATATAATATATATGTATATCTATGTTTATGAGTTTTATACCAATTTCAGACCCTTCATTCAAATTCCTATATCTCACATCCTGACTGCACTTGAATAATCTTATCCATTTTGAGACTCTCATTAAAATGCACGAATGTTCAAGGATATTACAAGGAACGTGCTTCTAAGGCGTAGATCAATGATTGACACTGTCACACCGTTATTTTCTTTTTATTGTTTTCATCGACGGATATCTTAAATAAGCACACCTATCACTAGTCTTCTTTAAAAACCACGACTTAGAAAATACATTATAAACGAATGTCAATACGTACGCTCGCTTCAATGGGAGGTACACGTGACGGTTTTCTGTATTATCGTAGAATCGATCGTATCAAGCATTGTACGTAGCAAGCATTAAGTGTAATATTTCTTTCAAATAAAATGTTAAATAAAAATTGATGATTATCTTTTTAAAAATATATGTCTTATGTCATTATCAAAGTTCAACAGAATATATATCATTATTGTTTGGATGGATATTGTAATGTGATATATATATATACATGAGAATATTTTCATCTTTTACATTATATTAAATAAATTTATTTGAATTTTCACCAATTAAGAAAAATATAAAT